AAGGGAAAAGGGCCGGGGGGGGGGGGGGGGGGCAGGGAACAGGCCTGCAGAAAAGAGTGGGCTCTGCAGAGATCAGACTGGGTACCTGCAGCCTCCACCTGGTTCCCTCTTCCAGAACCCAGAGTTGATTTATCAGGAGCCAGAATAGCCTTCAGTGTTTTATAAGATTAAAATTAATCTGTTTAATTTATTGTGTAGCAACTAAACTTGATCTGATCCTAACCTTATTTTTTATTTTTTAAATTTTATTTATCATTGTGATTGTGTATTTGATGTGTTGTATGTGAGTAGGACTGTCATAGTTCATGCTTGGAGGTCAGAAGACAACTCTGTGGAGTTGCTTCTCTCCTTCCACCTTTCTGTGCATTCTGGGGACTGAACTCAGGTCTCTAGGCTTGCATGACAAATGTCTTTACCCATGGAGACATCTTACCAGGCCTACAATATCCTGGTTCTTAATCAGATACTAATTTATAGTGTTTTAAAAGCCCAAGATAAAATGTGGGGCATAAGATAGTTGAATGGTCAAGGAAGCATGAGTATTTAAACTATGAGAAAGAAAAAAGATCAAATCAGAAATAGGGGGAAAATAGTAATGTTTAGTAATTCCTTTTTGTGGGTGTTAGGAGTTGAAACAAGTCTGACTGTGTACTTCTGGCTGGAATTTGGTACTAGGCCAAGGTGACCTTTTAGCCACTTCCTGGCTCAGTATCCAGTGCTGAGGTTACAGGTACCATTTCACCATCCCTAATGTTCCTAGTGTGTTCCAGATGACTAAACAGAGAGATTGTCCATTTCTTTGGAGCTGGAAGAACCCAGGCAGGACCTGCCACTTTCAGAGCAGCTTTTTGATCACACTCTGCCTCTCTTACTGAGCTGGTGCCTTCATTCTCCATGTGGAAATAGGTGAGAGACTTTGGGGGGAGCTGCAGCACCGAGCTGGGAATGGAGCTGTTGTTTTACCTGTGTTGAGACTGATGGGGAAGGTGGTCTTTACATTTTTATCTCCCGACTAGAGCGTTGGCCATTTCCAGAGCAATTCCCAGGGAGGTATAATTTAAAATCGATGTCCTGTAGCTCAAATTCTATTAAATACCCTAAGAAGGTTCTTAGAGCATGTCGTGGGTGAAGGAAGTGGTGGCCTACATTGAATGCTCACTCCATGTTGGCAGCGCATCACCCTTCTGTCTCACGTGTGCGTTCAGTTGTCAGATGATTGAGTTTAGTTCCAAACTGAGTTCTGATTCATTCATCTTTTCTCCCCATAGTGTTTCATTCCATTTTTGATCTTCCACACTGCTTTAATATTATTTCCACAAAGTATTTAATATGTGATATAGCTAGATGAGGCCCCATTTGCCCTCAGAAATAAGTTTCCTTTTTTTCTAAGTTTCAAATGGGTAGAAAGTGAAGAGCAACGCAGCGGGCACCCATTTCTTCCCCAAGCCTGGGGCATTTCTAAGCCACCACCATCATTGTCTTTCCCTGAGATTCTGGAATATTTAGAACCCAGCTCTGTGCACAGAGACATACTCATAAACCTTCAAAGAAAGACGAGCTAATTGTCCACAGAGCTGTGTGAACAGTGCAGGCTTCCGTTGCTGCCATCAACTTAACTTTGCTTAGTCAGTGCCTGAAAAGTGGCTCAGACTCAGCCCCTGAGGGCACTCCTGCTGTTTCCTCATTTCATGGCAGAAGGGTTGGGGATTGGAAAAAAAAAAAAAAAAAAAAAAAAAACAGAGTAGCTAGCCCTCTTTCTTCAAGAAATTAGGGTGTGGCTAGAGCTTGTGCTGGGGATTATCTTAGTTTAACGGTTACTGTGGGATGGGCGAGGTGGTGTGAACTTGGCTAAGCCGAACCATTTCCCAGAAGCCCCTCCTGGTCTCCTTCAGGGTGGGGTTGGCCACCAGTGAAGTTCCAATGATATTTGGAAGAAGGTGCTAAAAGTTGGCTCAGGTCAGGCCTGGTTCTATCTTGTACACAGCTACTGGGATGAGCTACAGCCGGGGTAACATCAGCTTCTCTGGAACACTCATGCCCGTGGATGAAAGCTCCCGGGTGAGCAGGTGCCGAGGCTTCTGGGTCCTTTTCCAAGGGAGTCTGGGAAGCTGAGCGATGTATCAAAGCATCCTTCTGCTGTCTCTTAGTTGGCTAGTATCCCATGGCCTGTCCGGCCGGTACAGGTTGTTTCGGAAGTGAAGAACTAGCCTGGAGTTATCACTGAGCCCTGGATGGAAGTTTCTATTCTTGATTTTTGGTAAGCCATTTTTATTTCCCTCTGTACTACAGTTTGGAGCTAATGTCCCTCAAAGGTCCATGGATGTGAAAGGCCCAGTCCCCAGAAAAACGGTGCTGTTGGGAAGAGGTGAGACGTAGGAGATGGGGCCTGGTCAGTCAAGGTATCGGCAAGCATGCCTCAAGAGAACAATCTCGAGTTTCCCATCTACTGTGAAGTCTGATACTCAACTGTAGTCATTTGGTTTGAGATAGGGTTTCATGGAAGCCAGGCTGCTGGCCTTGAACTCACTATGTAGCTAAGGATCATGACTTCCTGATGTTCCAGTCTCTTTCCCCAAGTGCTAGGATAACAGACAGGTGCCACCACACCCAGAACTTGAAGAGCATCTTTAGGCTGTGAGCTCCCAGGGTGCTCCCCCTCTCAGGTCCACCCTGCCTCTGAGAACCTGTTTTGCTTCCCTGTGATGTGCTTATTTATCTGTATTGAGGAACCACAGAGCACTGACTGCAGGTTCTTTACTACAGTGATCACTGACTGCAGGTTCTTTACTACAGTGAAGGGCAGCTGAGGCTGGCCTTCATCTCTTGCTTTAGGTGCAGGTGTTAGCAGCTGTGGAGTGGCACTGAAGCCAGTAATAACGATGTCTGGTGGTGCACACTTTGTCTTAGTGCTTAGAAGGCCGAAGCAGGTGGCTCACTGAATTCAAGGGCAACCTAGACTACAGTGAACCCTGCTATCTAAAACAAAAAAACAAAACGCCCCCACACAAAAAAAATAAAGCAGGTTACAATCTTAGGGCATTGTTGTAGATTTTATGTTTCACTGGCTACTTGACACAGGACAGTCACTTGTGAAGGCACTTCAATTGAGAAAATGTTCCCACTACATTAGCCCATGGGCAAGCCTGAAGAGCATTTCTGGATTGAGGTGGGAGAGCCCAACTCACTGTGGGCAATGTCACCCCTGGGCTGGTAATCCTGGGTTCTCTAAGAAAGCAGGCTGTGGGCAGCAAGCCAGGAAGCAGCACCCTTCATGGCCTCTGCATCAGCTCCTGTCTCAGGTTCCTGCCCTGTTGCATTCCTCCCCTGACTACCTTCCATGATGGCCTGTGTTGTGGAGCTGTAAGCCAAATAAACCCTTCCTCCCCAAGTTGCTTTTGGTCATGGTGTTTTATCATAGCAACTCAACCCTAAGACATGTCTTTGTTTCCCTCAAAGTTGTACCATTAGTAATCATGTATACATACATATACATATATGCATGTATATGATTTCTTACCTTTTAGAAGTTAACTCCTTAGAATATAAAATATACCGTGAACCTAGAGACCTACCCAGTGTTGTCTGCAGAGTAAATATTTGATGAAATGGGGCTGGAACAGAGGAAAGGTTCCATTTTCTTTGAGTTTTATTGTTTATTGTTTCTTTGGTTCCAGTGCTAGGGAATCAAACCCAGGGCCCTGCACATGCTAGCTAAGCACTCTGCCACTGAAACACATTCCCAGCTACAAAGTCTTTATGTGGTCCTGGCTGGCCTGGAACTCTGTGCCGCCCCCCCCTCCCCCCCCCCGCGCTTGCACATGGGTTCTGGGGAATCTTAAAATCAGGTTGCCCAGTTTGCATGGCAAACACCTTTACCCACTGAGGCATGTTATTGACTAACGATTTTCTTTATGCCCATTTTGTCTGCCTTTTACTGACAGCATTTCATAAACTGGTAAGGTTAATATATTATATAATATGTAATAAGCATTTCCTATGGTCAACTATCTAAGTAGAAGTATTGAGGAGAACAGATTTTGTTGCTGTTGGGATAGGGTCTCCTGAAGTACAGACTGGCCTCCTAACCCACTGTGTAGCCAAGGATAACCATAAACCCCTGAGGTTCCTACTTTCATACCCCAAGTGCTGGGATGTCCATTGTTTACTATGTCTGGTTTATATGGAGCTAGGGATCAAATTCAGCACCTTTTGAATGCGAGGTGAGCACTCTACCTCCTGTTTCTGAGGACAGTGTTTAGACTACCCTTCCTCAATTTTTCCTCAAGGACTATGGAATCCTATTTGTGGTAGGTGTACATGCAGGCAGCTGGCATTTCCTTTCTGTGCTGTACATGTGTACCCTGAAGTCAGGCAGCGAGGACGGTTTCCATAGTGTGCACATGGCACAGGGTGCAGGCCAGCATCCACCACTGTTCTACGTGAATGACACTTGCAGCTGAAATGGCTCAACTCTCACTTGTGGTTCTGTGACTCCTTCTTTTGCAACTTAGATAGGGTGGCTCTCACCCAGGTTAAGAGCTACAAGGAGAGGTCACTTCTCACACTTCTGTATAAACAGGTACCAGTTCTGATTTTATTTCATCATATTAACATACATGACACATCAAAATGAGAAATGCACAATTGAACCATTCAACAGCTTGCCTTACTCCCAAGACCACTATATTCATATTAAACATTTATACAGTCTTTCCACGTTAACTTTACAAATGTTCTAAATGGTTTCCAGCATTTCTCAGTCTAGTTTTGCTCATGAAAATCACTGCTTTGTATCATTGCAGAAACTCCAGGCTTCCCTGTGCTCACATGACAGCCAACCACATACCACCCACAGCGTGCCTTGGGGGGGGGCGGGGGGAGCAGCCCTTTCAGCACGGTAGTTGCGACTCTAAGAACTGCTACTGTGGCATTTGTGATGAAGACTGACAGCTGTAGAGTAGGACTATCAGCTACAGAGAAGGGACCATGGCCCAGAGAACCCTACATGACATATGGCAAAGGCAGACACTGAAGCCAAATCCCCTGATCCTCCTGGAACACACTTAATGATGGAGCTGTCGCTTTCATTTTCAAATTATGTCTTACCAGTGTGACAAGAGGGTGGATTCTTAGAAATTTAGTGTGTATGTCCAAATTTACTGTGAAGCTTTGAAAACTTTTGATTACACAAGATTTTGATATATATCAAAACCACAGATTGCTGAACAGAACCTCCCCAGAGTGGCAACCTGCTCCTGTGCAGTGTCTGTTCTGCCTCCATCTTATGCCCAGACACAGCTTATCCGTACAGAAACAGTGTGCCCATGAGGCTCCTAATCCTCCACCAGCTTCAAACCATGTCATTCCATGCTGGTTTTCGCATCACTATGGGAAACAGTAAGTCACATCCTAGTCAAAGAACTGTCCACTTCACAAACATGGAAAACCCTGAGATATGAGTCAGCCCCTAGCTACACTTAAAGAACAATGGCCTTCCCTGCCCCCGCCCACACCCTGCCAATGGGAATTATGGCCTCAAGGACTGTACTCTAGAGGGTAACACTCAAGCCAGGAAGTTTAAAGGCAGACATGTCCTGTCATGTACACACTTGTTCTTACTGCCTTCTATTCTTAGCTGCCAGAATTGCATCCACACAGTGATTGTATGCCAGGAACTGAGAAACCACTGTGGTCCTCCACTCTGACATGTCCCTTCCTTGGAAAGCATGCTGGGACAGCCTTGAAAAGCACTTCCCTGTATTCACAACTAAAGAAAATTCAACAACCCCTTTGTAAGCTTTCTAGCATGTTTTATTGTGAATAGTTCTTGCTCAACAAAGCCCATGGTAAGTTTAGAAGTCTAAGAAGATCCTTGAAATAGTACCCTTTTTGCATACCACAGGGGGAAAAAAAAGCCACCAAGGAAATGGGTTTCCTGCTTAAATTTTACCATTCTGAATCTTCCTATAGTTTTATTCCATGTCATGAAACAGAACTGAAAAGGATCTGCTGGGCTGAAAACCTGAAGGTGCTGTCACTTGGCTGCCAAGCCCAATGATTCACATTTACCTCCAAACCAAGTCAATTTAAGTATTAACAATCCCACTTTAGATAATTCTTTAATTTTTATACAGAGGGAAGGAGACTGTTTAGTGTCCCATCCCTGGCTTAAGTCTCTAAGCTACCTGACTGCCCAATCATCTCTAGCTATGCTGAACTCTAGTTGGTTTGCCCTCTTCACTAAAGCTGAGAAGAAGGGTACATGGATGGCAACTGCTCATCCGGGCCCACTGGGATTTTGTGCATGGACAGTATGAATTTGTCTGGAAAGTGACAAGTTACTTACTAATTCACAATGCCTAGAAAATGGGCTCCTAGACATGGTAGTGGTGACGGCCCCGAATGCTTTGTCTGAGGTACTGGATTGGTTATAAGTAGATCTGGGCAAGGCTCCTAATAGTTCATCCAGCAGAATGATGTCCATGTCCTTCAGCTGTCACTCAAGCTTGGGTTTATGACTCAGCCTTGGACAGGATCATTTCTCTTGGACTAACCACTAGGGTCTGTCCCTAAGAGGGTCTTTCCACCTGACCCACAGCTGGCTCAGTCTCAGCGCTAAGTGCTCAGGGAAGGGCCTGGACAGAGATGAGTCCTAGAGATCTCTGCTGCACATGAAAATGGGAGGGATTTTTCCTCTAACATCAATAACAAAAACCATTGCTTTTGTAGGAACAAGATGTGCAATTCACTGAACAAAATCTCTCTTCTCCTGGCTAGGGGAATTCTAACATCTACCCTTCCACTCTCTTCTGAGAGGTTAGCTGCTCTCAGTGCAGGTGTTGAGAGGACTGTGTTGAGCCGTCTTTTGCTTTTACACCGTAGCTCTATATTCCAAAAATATATATGTATATACATACACATATTTCAGATTTACAGGGAATACTTTTGTGAACAGAGACAGAGCATCAACAGAAGTCACAGGGTCTCTCTTCTCAGGAACAGAAGTCACAGGGTCTCTCTTCTCAAGAACAGAAGTCACAGGGTCTCTCTTCTCAGGAGACCTCTATGATCTCCATGCTGCCTGAAAAGCTTGACTGACTGCCCACTTTCCCCAGCTCTTCCCTCGACCTGTTCTCTGACATGATGCTCTCTCCAAATTCCATTTGGCAGCTTCTGCGTTTAAACTGCTTTTCAAAGGGGCTCTCTTCATGCCAGCTCCGTCTGGAGTCAGCTCTGTCGCTGGGCTTCTGCCGCCTACGAACAGAATAGACTTGGTCACTGCAGGTGGGCAGCTGGCTACAGCTGTAGGCAGAGTAGCTGCTGCTGCCTCCATAGATGGCTGAAGCAGAGTAGAAGTGTGAAGGCTCTGTGGCAAAATACCAACTATTGGTCAGGGAGGGGGCCGAGGACTGGGGAGCCAGAATGTCTGAGTGCCAGCCCTTGAGACCAGGCCCCACAGTAGACTTGGTGAGGTGCTGCTGGCTGGTGGAAAGGCCGAAAAGGAAGTTGGTGTGGTAATTGTCCTCCACACTCCCGCTCCGCTGCAGCGGGGAGAAGAAGGGCCTCTGAGTGGCACCACTGCTGGTTCTCACTGAGTGCAACCGCTTGCTCTGGCTCTCTGAAGGCCTGGTGGGTTGGGGCTGCTTGGGGATGTGGGCCTCCTCCTTATCTGGGCTGGTCTCTGGAGTCTGCTCTGATACCTCCTGAACAGGGGAGAACTGGCAGAGCTTGTTGGTCCCATCCAGTGTGGCAGAAGGTTTGTAGTATTCCAAAGCATCTTCTGATGAGAAGCCATGCAAAGATGCTGCCACACTGGCTGAATAGGAAACAGATTTGATATCAAGAGAGAAGGAACGCTTGAGCTTATTGCTGTCTTCCAACTGCTCTGCCGACAGCTGGAGCCCGTTGAATGCCTGTACCAGTGGACTGTCCTCTAGGAGTGAAGGCTGCAAGCTGGGCACACTGGTAGGATGTACAAGCCTTTGCCCTGCTGCCTCTGAGGTAGAGTTGGCACAGGGTGGACTGAGAGACAGTGCACTCTTCCGTCCGCCCTCTGAGGCTGCAGGCTCGCTGGGTTTGTCCAGGTGCAGCAGCTTGAGTTTGCTCTTTGGCCCTGACATTCCAGTCTGTTTCTTAATCATCTTCTCATAGTCCATGAGTTGGCCCAGAAAATTAAAGTTCGGAGATATAGTAGGTCTTTTTTCTTTCACAAATCTATAGAGAGGACAAAGCAAAACCCTTGAATGTTACAACTGCACTTTGTCTTGAGGGCACTAAGAGAAAGTGGGACAGGGTGATACTACAGCTTCCCAATGCTTTGGGAGAAGATTCATTTACATGTCCAGGATCAAGGTGGAGAACACCTTACAAGGGGAGCTGTGGCAAGTCCCAGGGCATGCTAGAGGGCAGCCTTCAGGCTCCTTATGTCTAAGAAGCCAAGGCTTTCAATGCAGTCAGTAAGAGGACTATTTGCTCAACCCCGCTCCCTGCCACATAAACCAGAAGAGTGGTGCTAAGGCACTCAGCAGTACCACCATTCCAGTATCCCCTCTTCAATTCCCACACTCACGTCTCAAGACCTTCCCATAGAGATGGCACCCGACGGCCAAGTGTCAGGGCACTCAGTGCTGTGTTTCTTTTTATATTTAAAACGACAGCATTGGTTCCAAAGTGGTCTCTGGGTGCTGAACACTGTACTGCTGTACCGAGTACTCAGCCCTTAACCTGTAGATCTGGATCAGGTCACAAGGTCCCAAAGTAGACAAAGCTACTCAAGGATGGAGCTGGATTCAAAGTTTGGATGTCTAATGTCTGGTCCCTGGATTTTTTTTTTTTTTTTTTTTTTTTTTTTTTTTTTTACCACAATATTAAAACTTCATCAAGACATTAAAAACTCACATAATAAAACTTTAATGTGATATGAAGGTGTGGGCCTTCCCCCCTGGCTTCAGCCTAGGCAGAAGGATGACAGGGACGGACGCCTAACTGGCAAAAGCTAGTGCAGAAAAGAGGAGTCATCCCTTCCAGTGTCAGCAAGACAGGCTGGCTAAGCAGCTCATTTCTTTAATCTAGAATCTCGAGTTTGAGAAACTCCAATGTTAAAGCATGGTGCATCTATATTCTTATGGTTTTTCATAGGAAAACCGACTACTTGCTGTCATGGCATGCAGTGAACTCAGATGCATTTGTCACCAAAGAAGATGGCAGTTCTGCCATTTTCTGCCTTTCCCGTTGAGATAAAAAGAGAAGGCAGCCTAGTGAGAATTACTACCTGTAAAACCTGGCCAAATAGACAGGACAGGAAGCTTTATTCAGTTTTTATACATGAGTTCATCAGGCTTTTTCATCTCAGAAGGACAGTGAAGCAGAGCAGACTCTGATGGCATTGTGTGAGACGCTTTTCCCATCTGTCAATCAGAAAAAGGCTATGCTTCCCTAGCAAGGGCGAGGAATAAGCGCTCTTCGTCTATCAATACTAAAATGTAGCTGAGGGGAAACCATGTTAGAGGACGACGGATAAGCAGAACTGCTCTCTTTCTCAGTCTCTGCAATACCATGAGTCACCAGGAACCTGCAACCAAACTCATCTTGGTCTGTGTTTATCTAGTCACCCTGTTTCAGGGGAAATGAAAAGCACGTCCCATAAGCCATGTTCCTGTCCTTACCTGTAAGCCTCATCTAGAGACATGTCCATCCTCTTCATGATGTAGGCAATAGCAATGGTAGCGGAGCGAGAGATTCCAGCTAAGCAGTGTACCAGGACACAGCCATTGGAGGCTTTTGCTTTCTCTGTGGGAACAAATTTCAGAAAGGTCACTGGGAATTGCTTCAGTAAGGAAATCTCATACTCAGCATTCCCCTGAATGTTACCGTCAATGTCTTCACCTGAAACTTCAAAGCAAACCTCACCTCCGTAGTCTCCTAGTCATCCTTTAGTGTTGTTTATTGGAGGAAGGGGAAAGGCAGGTCCCAAATGATGATTAGTAAGCAATGGTACTACCTCAGATTGCTTGGCTGGCTCTTCAGAACTTTTGCCATATAGAGTGTATGTGTGTGAGAATACACGGAAGATGGAGGTCAATTTCAGTTGTCATTCCTTGGGTGTACTTTGTTTTTTAGACAGTACTGGCCTGGAACTCACCAAGTAGGTTAGTGTAGGTGGTGGGCTAGGCAGCAAGCCTCAGAACATTCTCCTGCTTCTGTCTCCCCAGTACTGGAATTACAAGCAAGCACTACCAAGGCCATCATTTTTACGTGGGTTCTGGGGATCAAAGTCGGGTCCTCATGCTTGCACAGCAAGCACCTTAAAAGGCTGAGCTATCTCCCCAGCTACTTACTTAGCTCAAACTCATGTACATGCTAGACCAAAGCTCTCTAAGGTAAAGCAGGAGTTACTAGCATACTGCATCATTTTAATTCCCTGAACATGTTAGATTAGAAGCAAAGCCAGGGGGATTCACACAGCACTGCCCTCTTTGCTGATGAGGAGCTTCAAAAGCTCATGTATAGGAGCACATGACATTATCCCAAATGGCCTGCAAGCAACTATCATGACTGACTCTGTTCTCAACACCTACATATGTGCTCAAACATAAAGTTGTTGCAGTGGGGCCAAATCCTTCCCTTTTCATTTATTAGTCAAAAGATGAGGTTCTATATTTTTTTGAGACAGAGTTTCTCTGTACTGGAACTTGCTCTGTAGAGTAGGCTGGCCTTAAACCCAAAGATCCGCCTGCCTCTGCCTCCCAAATTCTGGGATTAAAGACGTGAGTCACCACTGATAGTGGCAAGGTTGAAATTCTTAAAATTCTCAGAACACAGGGAACCTGCACTGGCTCCTATATATAAAACTGCTCCCGCCTTGCAGCCTGTGGTAGAGACTTCTAGTAGACATGATTTGTTATTCATTATATAATAAACAATTTAAGAGTTATATAATAAACAATTTAAGAGTAGACATGATTTGTTGTTCATTATATAATAAACAACAAGGCTAAGCAGAGAGTAAGCAACAAGCAGCATCCCTGCTAGAAAAGGAAGCCAAAGAAGAACAAATGAACACAATCTATGTTGACACACAGAGCCAGGCTAACATAAATAGCACACGGCCCGCACGCAAATCCTGTTACATCATTTATCATTATTTATCATTATTTATTATTAACAAATCCTGTTACCCGCATTTATCTTCTACTCCATATTCTCTTTTTACCTCAGGTGAGAGGCTCAAAGCTAAGGTTTCCACTTTATGGCAATTCTGATTTTCTGTCGCAGTCATTGCACTTGTCCTATAATTTGGTTCTTCCCCCTTTTTTCTACCTCACGGCATTTGGGTGAAGGTGTATATGTTGGTCCCAATACCTAGCTGAAGCTGCTCCAAATCCTGATGGGAAGCAGGCTGGGAAGGGCTAAGGGGGAAATGCAGTGTAGACCACTGTCTATCATGTTTAAAGCTCCAAATTCCAATCCCAGCGCGCACACTAAAATCATTTGGTTTCAGTTTCTTATTTTGAGTGTTTTTTTCTATTATTGCTAATAATGGTCTCGGGCGGGAGCGTTGGCTTGCTGGTTAAGAGAGAGCACTTGTTGCTCTTGCAGAGAACTGGGGTTTGGCTCCCAGCTCCACACTGCATCTCTGTGTAACTCCAGCTCCAGAGTATCTGATGCCCGCTTCTGACCCCCTCAGGCAACAAGCACATGCACACATGCAGGTAAAATGTGCATAATCATAAATCTAAAATAAAAATTGTAAATAATGCTTATCTGAAAAAAATAGACTATAAGAACCTATCATGGTCCTGTTCTCACACTACTCAGTGGTTCAAATACTAAACAATATTATGCAAGCAGTTAATACTGTCTGGCACATTTTTTTTAAGATTATTATAAAAATAGGGGAAATGGCAAGAAGGCTCTGCAAGTAAAAGTGTTCAATGCATAAGCCTAACAACCTGAGTCTGATCCCTGGAAGGATCCACAGCGGGAGGAAAGAGCCAATTTCCCAGAGTTGTCCTCTGGCCTCCACATGTGCAGTGGCACACATGTGTCCACACTCTTGCATCATATACACGAGATGACAATAATGACAACAGATTAAATTAAACATTTTGAAGGAGGTTGCAAAGAGATAAAACACAGCCATGCAGCCAGCAGTCCGAGTATCAGTGAAGCCACAGAAACAAGAGATGCTGCCCCCAAGTAGAAGGTGGAAACTGATCCTAGATTGTTCCCTGACCTCCACATATGCAACATGCCACATGTCTGCTGTGTCACACACACACACCTATTCGTAATACATACAAGCAAGCAAACCAATATTTTTAGAAACATGCATTACAATGTTGATGGTGGATTTCCTTTTCCCTTCCATTTTCTGTATTGTGCTCATGCTGTTTTTACAACCACAATTCACCTGGTAATTGTTTTAAAATTAAATATAAAAGTAATTATTCTAAAGTGTGCTCATTCGCAGATAGGTCTTGAGAGACTGAATACTACCCTTAGTCTTGGAGTCACACACACAAAGACCTGGCAGAGAGGGAAAGGAACCATGCACAGGAAAGCCCTGTCAGTCCTGAGCAGGAGACTCAGGAAGCAGCTTGCTTGGCTGGAAATAACTGGCGGTGGCTCCAGAGGTGGGCATTTCTTGGGGATGCTAGGTGAAGAGACATACTTTTGTGTAGGAAATTAAAGGGCCTCTTCAAGTTCCAGAGTGAGGAACAAGAAGACAGAGATGTTGAAACTGGATATAACAGCAAGTTAGTACTACAGAAATCCAAGAACAATGTTTAGGTTTAAAAGCAAAGTACAGAAACCTTTGTCTCTAATAACAAAATAAAAAAGAGAGAACTGAGGAGTTAAAAACTGAGGACACAGTGAAAGTCAGAGTTCAAAAAAGGAAGTGATGGCAAAGGGGTCAGATCTACAGACGGAGAAAGAAAAGAAATGCTCATGGTCATGTTTAAAATATTTGTTAGTCAGTGCGGGTAGCCTGTGCCTGTGGTCCCAGGTACCTGGGAGTCAGTGCGGGTAACCTGTGCCTGTGGTCCCAGGTACCTGGGAGGAGTGTCTGGGCCCAAAGTTTAGGCCAGTCTCATCAGCATAGCAGGAGCCTGTCCCAGAAAAAGCAAGGAGAAAAAAAAAGAAAACTCAGACATTTCTTCAGAGCTAACTCTGAGCTGAGTAGTCTGGAGAGGGTGAGGTACACAGAGTCTGCTTTAATCCTCCACTGTCTCTACAGAGGACACCTACCTTCAGCTCTATTTCAGGAAAGAGGCAGACGGGAGTTTTAACTTAGTTACACACAATCACTTAACTGATAACCTGGAAGGAAGGACTCAAGAGTTTGGCTCCAAAGGGCATCCTTTTAATCAATTCTCTCTGATGCCTCAGTGAGAGGGTGGGGCTGAGCAGGGGCCTGGATCAACATGACATGCAATGGAAACGTTAACCACAGTTGTCTACTTTTTCTTTTATGGGCAAAGAAATGAATGCCAGGCTGAATATACTTCTTAGAGGTGCAGTGTGAAAGTTTCCTTATGATTATTTTCAAATTCTTCAATGTGAAATGCACGATGGACTAGCTTCTGTTTATGCATGGGTGAGTATGTGCTGGAATTTTACTGGATCCAAAACTACTTGAAACTAGTGCTACATGGACTGAGGCTCAGGAAACCTTGTAACATATAAAAGGACTTTAGAGGCAATGGGAGTTTTCACAGGACTTGACTTTTCCCAGGGAAAACACAGCACCAAGAGGCAATATCAGCCAGCTTCACCAAATGTTTTCAAAGGATTTGAAAAGTGAGGGTTAGTTCTGAAAGCTTAACTAATTTTTAAATACTTGTAACACATAATCTCAGATCCTGCAAGGCTTAACCTTGATGTTGTTAAAAGTTAGCTAGCAGGTTGGTCACAAGACCAATCCCTTAGGGGCAGCATGGCACACGTCACCTTGACCATTAAATAAGTAAGCAAAATCACGTGCTGTTTTCAGACTTGAGATCTCTAAGAGAAGCAGGGAGGGAGCAGCAGCTACACCTATTTGTGACACTGTGGTTCAAAGGGCTTGTACCTCGTCTTAAGCTACATACCAATGAAATCCACAGACTTGTCCAACCATGGCAGAATTTTCTCACAAAAGCTGTCGTTCACGGGGACTCGAAAGAAGTGAGATTCGGGTATGAAGTCAGGCTTTGGGCAGGTATTGCTGGCATTTAACACATAGCCAATCCCATTCTGTTGCATCAGCTCCTGTAGAGGGAAAAGAACAATTAAAGGAACTAATTATATTAAGAGTCATTCTGGAAGATTGATGATTAATACTATGACAAGTATTACCAGTTTCTGTGCAATAATTATTCACATCGTGAAATCCAAAAATCCAATGAAGTGACATTTACAGATTTAAAGTTGAAAGTAAAAAAATTATGGACATAAAAGCCATCTACAATAGTATGCCTGAAGAGCAACCACACATGACCAATACAGTAAGTCTCAGTTGTCTCCATTGCTAGAGAGAGAAGTAGAACAAAGAATCCAAAGAACAACATAGCTCTCTTCAACATGGACCACACTGGGTGTTCTCTAGGACCCAGGCCTTCGAATTCTTGTTGCTTGGTTTAAACAGTCTTTTTGAAGGTTATATCTGTTTATTTGAATTTATACCTACTGGATACTGGGATGTCCCACAGCCTTTCACATTCGATTGTCAATTGCCAGAAACCAAGCACAGGACCCTCCTTTTTTGGTCCTGAACTCCTGTTTTCTCTGTCATCCCAGCCCTGATGAGAACAGCCACCCAGCCAGCTGGCAAGACACTAGCACGTGGCTCCCTTTTCTTCCTCATCATCCCAATTGCCAATGCCTGCCAAATCCCTCTGCTATTACTTCTTCCATTCATCCTCTCTCCTCTCTCTATCCCCATTCGCCACTCAGTGATCCATCAGTCCCTGGTGTTTGGGATATATTTCCCCTCAAAACCATATTCTTTACAACAACTAGGGTAATATTTTGTTTTCTTTTTGAGACAGTGTCTTGCTTTGTATCCCAGCCTAGCCTCAAACTCCAGACTCAAATGATTCTCCTGCCTCAGCCTCCAAAGTCTCCGGGACCAGACACATGCAACCACACTCTGCTGATCTTTCTTACAACTAAGAGTAGGCTGAGTGCTCCTGAGATACAAAACCCCAGAGCATGCATGTGGACTCACCCACCCTTCTGTGTTTAGAAAGCTCCACCCCTGTCTTCCTGATGGTTTCTTCCCACTTCTCCTACTCAGCCTGAGCTTACCTAAGAATTCCTTCCATGGACACACAGTTAACTGTTTCAAGCTCCATCCTCTACAGTGCTGTGTTCACACCATTGTAACAACATAGCACTGCATGGTGCATTAACAGTTAATTCTTCTCTCCCCTTTTAGACAGTAAAACAGTGAGGAAGGTCTTGAACTGACTCTGGTTTGCTTGTGTAACAGCACTAATATGAATTGGTTATTTGCCAGACACATCCACCACTGACCCAATGACTACAAGCTGAAACAGCCACACCGCGGTGAGCCTTCCCAGTGCTGCCTCTCAGGACATCTTCTAAGCCTGGAATATTACTCTAAGCAACTCTGGTCATTTCTTTTTTTCTTGTAATACCACTTTTTTTTTTTTTTTTTTTTTTTCCTTTTTTTTTTTTTTTTTTTTTTTGCACTTTTCCAACTACTTTAAAGACAAACGGTGTTTTTTCCTGTTTGTCTCCCTGAAGCATGCTGGATGTCTCCCTCTTCATTTTACACACCTGGTATAGGAAGTGTATTTTATTTTGTACAAAGAATACAGATTGTGTGCAACCCTTTCTCAATTCTGAGATAACATCAAGAAACACCTTTTGACTTGTGTGGCCTTCTTGGCTTGACCAACCCCTTCTTTCCATCAAGCACAAGGCCCTGGTGGGCTCATATGCTCAATGAGGTTCATGATGGACCATGAAGATCTTACTGGTGTTCATCACAGCTTTTCATCCTCACTGCTTGTGGCAGAGGGGCACCATTTTTCTCTAGGTGAACCCCCAAGTACCATCTAACTCACCACAGGCCCAGTATGTCCCTGGTAAGGAGACCAAAGAGACCCACAATAACAAAATCAGCCTCTGAGACCTTTCTTAAGGAAGCACAGTATACTTGTTCCTCTTCTTTACAATAGTATTAGTAGGTTACATTATGTAAAATGCAAAAGTCAGAGAGAGGTGGCTCAGCAATTAAAAGCACTTGTTCTTGTAGGACTGAGGTTCTGTTCCCAGCACCCATATGATGGCTCACGATCATCTGTAACTCCAGTTCCAGGGATTCTGACCCCTCTTCTGACCTCCTTGGGCAACGAGCCTGCATGGTACATATTTACACCTGCAGGAAAAACTCTCACATATATAAAGAATAAATGGATCTAAACTTCATTGTTTTTTGAGACAGGATTTCTCTGTGTAGCATTCCTGGCCATACTAGAACGAGCTCTGTAGACCAGGCTGGCCTCAAACTCACTGAGATCCGTCTGCCTCTGCCTCCCGAGTGCTGGGATTAAAAGCAAAGTAGAGGAATGATGCCCAGGGTTGATCTCGGCCTCCACTCTCATCATGCAACCACCCGCTCCCTCACAAGTCTATTTATACAACATACTACCAGCTGCTACCTAAAATTCCTTTAGGAATAAGACAGAACTTGGTAAATAAAACAAGGCCAATTTTTCAAACAAAAAAGCAAACAAAATACTAACATGCCATAAAATGAAAATGTAACTTGACTGCTAAGTTAAATTCCATAATGCCTTTATGTGTATATTTGTAGTTACTACATCAGTGGGAATGTCGGTTAAAGAAGGAAATCATTAAGGATGATACATACCTAAGATTGACACACACTTGAAATGTGACTTCTAGCTTAAAATTACACATTAAATAATTTATATGGAACATGAAAGTAGGAGCAGGGCTATCTGGGAAAATGAAGGGAACTAACTATGCAGGACAGAGGAGAAAAATGGGTTGGCCAAAGTACACAATACATTTGAATGAAAATGTCTTCATGAAACCTAGCACTACATAGTTAAAAAGAATTCCAAGTCAGTCTGGGCTAAAAAAAGAAATAGTAAAACAAAAGTAATTTCTTTCTTGTTGTTCTTGTTTTGTTTTCAAGACAGGGTTTCTCTGTGACACAGTCTTGTAATGCACTCTGTAGACCAGAATGACCTCGAGACCCACCTGCCTCTGCCTCCCGAGTGCTGCTATCAAAGGCGTGCGCCACCACTGTCCAGCCAATTCACTAATTTCTAATGCAGGTTCTCTCCCTAGCTGAGTAGTTTTTAGGAAAACTACACTAAATGCAACCATCTGTTTTTATTTTATTTTTTTTTTTAAAGAGCAAGACCTCACAAAGGGCTGGGATGTAGCTCAGTGGCAGAATGCTTACCTAGCATTCATGAGGCTCTGGGCTTTATTTCTATTACCAAAATAAATAATAAACAGTAAATAAAATAAAGAAGTAAAGAAAGCAAAAAACTTAGGAAAGTGTCAGCACAGACACCTTTTCCATTCTGACTGCCTCCCAAAGATTTTACAGCTGCCTCATTCTCACCTAATTTAGCTTAGGTCATACAAAAACAAGTCTCTGCCCTCATTCTTATTTCATCAGTACATGTACTATTTTAATTAATGTACATAATTACAATAACAAGCATACTGGCCCACACAGGTCTGAGGGCAAACAGCTATTCTGGTAAGCACACTATTCAAACACTGGTGTCAGGTGTGCTGTAGGAAGAGCCCACAGCTAGACTAAGGGCACAAGGACTTGACAACGAATCTCTGATGTTAGTTAAATAAGTTCTAGGAGTTCAATACAGCTATACTCGTTATCCTCTTAATTGATGTTTTTTTAATTTTTTCCTGAATGTGCATACACGTGGATGACAGGGTATATTAATTTATTTTTTTTTATGTGTGGGTATTTATGCACACAGCATGCATGCAGACGCCCATAGAGACCAGAAGAGAGTGTCAGCTCTCCTGGAACTGTACTTGGAGGCGGTTGTGAGTTGCCCATGTAGGTGCTGGGAACCAAACTAGGTCCTCAGCAAGGACACTAAATGCTCTTAACTGCTGAACCACATCTCCAGCCCAAGACACTAAGTTTTTTGGTGGTATAACTTAAAAGTACATTCATGAAGAATAAATATTTTGTGAAATGATTGCTCTTCCTCATAAATGAGTACTGATGCCTTTGTGGTAAATTAGATATATTTATATAATTTTCATCTTATTTTTCCACATTATATAAAATACACACGACTGAATAATTACTCTGTTCTATAATTAAATAGCACAATCTTTAAACTTCTGGAGAGTAGCCATCTTACATGATAAATATTTAGCTTGGACGTTGAACTGCTGCTAATACATAGCCTTCCAATGATAAGATAAACCTTGGCCTTCAATACCCTCTGACGTCATGGTGCTTGAGTTCTGTGGACTCACCTTCACGGCTCCCCTCATGGCCTCTAGCCTACTGTCTAATGGCTACAAAGCTTACAAAACTGCCATTGCCTGCAACCCACGCTTGCACCCCTACCCTCTTCCTGTCCACTCTCCTACTCCACTTCCCCCAGAACCCCACGGCCCTTCACTCTGACGATCCTACACACTTCCCCCGTTCTTCACCCCATGTGCTTTCCCCTCTCTTAACAATCCGTCCATTACCCTCCCCTCAAAACTTGTAATGTATTTCTGTACGTTGTCACTCTTAGCTGATGGAAGAGTACATTGAGCAGTACAATTTTCCTGCTACATGGGAAAATTTACCATCTGCAGCCACAGATACCTTCACCAGCACACACATCTGTCCATTCTATCTTCCCAGCAGTTGTTACCGATGAACAACCAACATAAGGTCAGTCTCTGTACTTGCTTAGGAAATTCAATCTCTTCTTATTCATGGATATGAATTGCTGGCCTTTCTCCTACATCAAATTTTTTACTCTCTCAGATGATTTCCTCTACTAACAATCAATTTCTCCCATCTTAAAAATATCTCTTTGCCTTAAGCTCTTCTTTTTAGCAAAGTTCCTTGGAAGAGTTGCTTATGCTGCTATCTCCATTCCTTTCTGCCTATTGTTTCTTGCACCCATTTATCCCACAGGCTTTCCCATCCCTCTACCAAGACACAGATCATAAATTACCTTGATCTCCATGTTGCCCTTTCCAATGGCTAATTCTTA